CCGTAGCATAAATGGCTGCCCACTGCTCCGGGTGTGTGTTCACGGTGTGTGTGTGTTCACTGCTGTGTGTGGGCACTTTGGATGGGATAAATGCAGAGCACTAATTCCGAGTATGGGTCACCATACTTGGCCACATGTCACATTACTTTTTTTTAACTTTCATTATAAACCTTAAAATGAAAGCTAAAACCAGTTTCTCTTTCTCTCTGTAGCTGTCGGGTGGCTGTGAGCAGACTGTGGTTCTGCAAGACTTTGTTGCGGGGTCAGTGGGTGAGTTGAGCATTCAGTCGGGTCAGACCGTCGAGCTGTTGGAGAGGTCTGGAGAGCGGCCCGGCTGGTGTCTGGTGCGGATCACTGAACACTCGCCCCCTCAGGAGGGTCTGGTTCCCAGCAGTACCCTGTCCGTGTCTCACTCTCGCAGTAGTGTCGACATGGACTGCTTTTTCCCACCTGGGAAAGGTGAGTCACTCCCACACAAATGTTCACTGCCCACAGATCATGTCTCACTTTCATATTAATATTTTGATACATTCGTTGAGCAAGTCTTTGTCATTTGCATCAAGATATTTTTGATGTATTTGTGCTCATCTCTGTTTTGGCAGATGCATTTATCCAAAGCAACTTACATTGCATTCAAGGTGTACATTTCATCAGTTCATGCATTCCCTGGGATTTGAATCCATGGCTTTAGTGCTGTTAGCACCATGCTGTGCTGTTTGAGCTAATACTTTTATGAAATTTTACACTTTTAAGATCATCCTGAGCATTCAGTCAGTTGCAAAACAATTATCATAATATAAAATGAAATGTTTGTTGCTTGCAAAAATAATGATTTTGTCAGAAATACTAGGTCATCCAAAAAGAAAATGTCTGACATCTAAATTCTGATAATTACTATTATTGATAATTAATAATTAATTATAATTAACATGAATTAGATACATTATTATTAATTTATTAAAACAATCTATCATAATAAAAAAATACAAAGACTGAAATCAGATTTCTTTTTTCCTCAATAAGTAAAAAAAAAATTATTTGACACTCCCTAGGTAATAAATATAATTATATAATTCTGTTAATATTGTATCATATAGGGGGCCTTCTAAATATTTAGTCAAAAAGATTGAGAACCACTGATTTGTAGTATTTTCGACAGGCCCAGTTACTAACTACGTATATTGCATGCTAAAGAGCAGCTTTCACATTCTGTCCAATAGCTCCTTTTGGTTGAAAAGGCCATGCAGGTTTCAAATAAAGCATAATTAAGTATATAGAGACAAGAAATTTTCTTTTGAATGATTTATACCTTTAAGCTGTTTTACTGTACACGCGTCGACGGCTCTCTGAACAGCATGTGTTCTGGCTTCTCCCAGGGGAGCCAGTTCTGCTCCCGGTGGGTGAGGTACAAATAGGGTTTGATCATTAATTAGCAGGGTGCTAGTGATGCTCCGAAAAGCTTGCGTCCTGCTTTGATCCAGCTCGGGGGATTGGTGTATGTGTTTTGGTGGGGCTTCAATCCTGGGACTCTCACAGGCTCATGAGATGTTTCACACAGTATATCCACATCGAATGCATGAGGAAACATTTTAGTTTTCAATTCACCTTTCTATAAGAGGGTCTTTTATTGTGGTAGTGACTTTTAGAGGTCAAAGTGAGGACCATAAGGGTGTAGCTTTGCTTTTTTGGGTCAGGGTGGTGTCAGTGTGTGCATTTAAGGCCCCATACTGTCTGAAACGGAGCACTCTGCATTGTAGTCCCTTTACTTCCTGTTGTCTCCCTGCACTGCGCTTCCTGTATTTAGAAGAACACATTTCTAAACATTACCCCAACCTCATGACTGTTCAGGCCTGGATCTAAGAATAGACAGAGGAAAGGGGGAGCTGGCCTTTTCCAGGTAGGTTTCAAGAAAAATCAATAAATAGAAGATGACAGGTCAAGATGACTGCTGAACTAGCTATGACGAGCTGTACTGTCACATTCATAGAGCTTAAGTTGTATTTAACCTGGAATAGTTCTCCAATGATCTCACTTAAAGAGTCTACCATCTGTTCCCCCTTTTTTTCTGTATTTAGTTATCATGTGCATTTTTTATGCCTGTTCACACTTTTGCCTTTATATTTTGAGTAGGTGATAGTGGTGTGTGTGTGTATGTGTGTGTGCTGCTCTGTATCTGATGCAACAGAGTGATAATAAACAGAAAGTGATGCATAGTAACACGGAAAATCTTTAGTCAGGCATGACTGTTTCTGAGACATTCTGTCCAGTGAAACTGTTCTCTGCACGCTACGCTACACCTCATTCTGTTGACTGGGTTTTTTCAGTTCTGTTATTGGAACTTCAGTCCTCCTATTATTGGACAGTCATGTTGATGTTTTTGAAACTTTGATTTCAAAATGTTGTCACATAGTTAACCTGTACATTGTAGAAATAGAATTCCAAGTAGGGCCAGCCCAGAACCTGAAACAAAATGATGCACACTATGGGCTGTCCTCTTTGAAATATTAAAATCTGTGCAATATGCAACACATTTTCTCCTCACTTGAGCTGTAACTAAACATTAAAGCTGTCCCACAATGTTTCATATTTTCACACAGAGGTGACCCTAGCAAACTTCAAAGGGGCCCGCAGGATAACTTAATAAGCATTAAAGGTGCAGTAGGAGATCTTGGAAAATCCTAACTTTAGCCTGATAGCACTGAAAGCGAACGTCCCACCCTCCCTGCAATCGCCGTCCAAAGCCACGCCCCCTGAACGCATTTACGCTCACAGACCAGAATACCAGAGACAACATTACTACAATAGGCTACATCAACGGTTCCCAATTCCAGCCCATGTTCCGAAGTGAAGTAAACTTCAACGGATTTCCCC